GTCGTTCACTTTTCGAAATTTCCAACAAAAACGCAAAAAATACAAAAAACCACATAAAATTACACTCAACTCGCATCAAGTGCTATTTTTTTTCGGTTAATTATCACTTCAACTATATGTCGTTGTTATTTTTAGATAGAAATTTTTAGAAATTAATGTCTTAAAATCAAATTGCATCAATATTCGAAAATGGGTTCTCCATTTGAACAATATTATTAAATAATTTTTTTGGAATCGTCGTGCCACCAAAAGAGAAAAACTGATCGACGTGGCCGAAATATTAAACATAACTTCAATATAAACTAGCAGAAAAATTGAATCCAAAACTCTGATTCAATGCACACAAAATAATACACAAAAAATATATTCATTCTATCAAAACAATGCAGAAATCAGCTGAAAAATAGAGTATTAATTTAACGGCGAGAATAAACAAATAAACATAAACATGAGTACGGAGCGAAGAGATTTTGAGAAATTTAAAGAAGTCTAAGAAAGGTGATGAAAAGAAACGATAGGAGGTAACAACGGTTAAACGAAGCATTCTATGTGAGATGAACGATTCAGATGACTAACTCATCAGAAACGAATAATCATTGTGATTGCATTCATAAGCAAAATGTTATCAGTAAAGATAACACTAAAAGAACAGTTCGTAATGGAAGAATATCATTTGAAAATCAAAAAGATAAAGCCAAACAAATTAACCAAATGAATAAATTGGATGACAAAAGCATCCAGAAGCTCAATAATCAAAAAAAGAATTCCTCATCAGTTTCCATTAGCCCTTCTTAATCACAACAAAAAATACCCATGAAAAACCCCAAAATTATTTTGAAAATGCAATTGGATTTCATGTTTAACCAATCGACGGGTAATTATCAGATCTGCTGCCAGCCCTAAATATGACCCAAAAGCATTTCAGTGTGCCACCCTTCCTTCTCCCTCTCTATTTATGATCTCCAGAACGATGGTTTTGATACAAGTCACTGATGATATCTTCATATTTCTCCTGAAGTGGTCTACGTTTCAATTTCAGCGCTTCAGTCAGCAAACCACTTTCGGATGTCCACACCTCATCACACAAATGAATCTTTCCCGGCATTTCCACTTTCAGAAGTTTATCTGAAATCGAATATCGATGAAACAATTCAAAACTTCCATTTCACAACAAATGAAATCAATAATCGTTTAACATTTTATTTTTAGTCCCATTTTTTGTTCTGTTAACAAATATTGTTTGTNACTTTTTCACAAAAAACTTCAAATTCGTTTTTTGCAAACTTCCACGCTGGGAATGTTCATTGGGAATGTATCATGTAAACATACAAAACAGAATATAACATCCTGAAAATGCGATCTTCCCCCTTCCCCCTATACTCATCAACAAACAGCTAACATCGACCTCTTCAATATCAAAAAATCTTCGAAGAACTATTCAACATTTCGAAAACAATCACATTAAACGCTTCATACAGCGGTGCTTTCTGGGCACTTACAAAATCTCTAATTCACTGCGTACTACTCTAAACGAC